TGGTCCATCTTGAGGCTATGTTCGCCTATGTTGGCCCATCTTGATGGCTATGTTGGCCCATCTTGGGGCTATATCTTGGGGGCTATGTTGGCCCATCTTGAGGCTATGTTGGCCCATCTTGAGGCCTATGTTGGCCCATCTTGAGGCCTATGTTGGCCCATGTTGACCTATCTGGAGACCCAAGCTCTGAAATCCCACCCCGAAGCCCGAAAAACGTGAAAACCCCAGCAGGCTGAAGGATTTTAGGGGAGGGTCGGCGGCAGGGGCGCGCCCCCGGGTAGCTAAAGCTATGCTTAGCGGTCCAGATACGGCGCATCGCCGGATTTAAGCGCTTACGCGCGACAGCCGGCCAGGGGCCCAACTATGTTGGCCCATTTTGTGGCTATGTTGGCCTATGTTGGCGTATGTTGGCCTATCTTGCGGGCAATGTGGGCCCATCTTGTGGCTATGTTGGCCTATGTTGGCCTCATGTTAACCCATATTGAGCCAAAAGATCTGAAAAATGGGAACAGCCAGAAAAACACTGTAAAACGCAGGGTATTTTGATGGTCGGCGGCCTATCTTGGGGCTATGTTGGCCCATCTTGGGGCTATGTTGGCCTATCTTGAGGGCAATGTGGGCCTATCTTGGGGCTATGTTGGCCCATCTTGGGGCTATGTTGGCCCATCTTGGGGGCTATGTTGGCCCATCTTGGGGCTATGTTGGCCCATCTTGGGGGCTATGTTGCCCCAGCTTGGGGCTATGTTGCCCCAGCTTGGGGCTATGTTGGCCCATCTTGAGGCCTATGTTGGCCCATGTTGACCCATCTTGAGCCACAAGATCCGGAAACGGCGAAAAAATGCGACGAGCACAAAACACCGTAAAACGCGGGGGTTTTTGGCGGTACGAGGTGGTCGCCGGCAGGGGCGGCGGCCCCTCTCTCCTACGGAGAGGAGAGAACTGCCGTACGGCAATGCCACGGCCAGGGGGCCCCTGGCCGGATTTATGAGGCTTACGCCTGACAGCCGGGCGCCGGCAAAAGCAGACCCGTCAGCCCGAGCTGGGTTTGAATTCGACCCTGGTGGCTCACATCTTGGGCGAGGTTGCGCCTACATCGGCCTAGGTTGGCGCCATCTTGGTGGCTTTACCAAGTTGTTGTTGTTGTTGTTGTTGTTGCTGTTGCTGTTGCTGTTGCTGTTGCTGTTGTTGTTGTTGTTGTTGTGGTTGTGGTTGTTGTGGTTGTTGTGGTTGTTGTGGTTGTTGTGGTTGTTGTGGTTGTTGTGGTTGTTGTGGTTGTTGTTGTTGTTGTTGTTGTTGGTATTGGTGTTGTCGTTGTCGTTGTTGTCGTTGTTGTTGTTGTTGTCGTTGTTGTTGTTGTTGTAGGTGTTGGTGTTGGTGTTGGTGTTGGTGTTGCTGTTGCTGTTGCTGTTGTTGTGGCTGTTGTTGTTGGTGTTACTGTTGCTGTTGCTGTTGCTGTTGCTGTTGCTGTTGGTGTTGTGGTTGTTGTGGTTGTGGTTGTGGTTGTGGTGGTTGTGGTGGTTGTGGTGGTTGTGGTTGTGGTGGTTGTGGTTGTTGTGGTTGTGGTTGTGGTTGTGGTTGTTGTTCTTGTTCTTGTTCTTGTTCTTGTTGTTCTTGTTGTTCTTCTTGTTGTTGTTGTTGTTGTGGTTGTGGTTGTAGCTCTATGTTGACTAGGTCGTCGCATGTTTGCGCCATGCTTAGCCTTATGTTGGCCCATGTATGGCCTTATGTCATGTTTGCGCCATGCTTAGCCTTATGTTCGCTCATGTATGGCCTTATGTTGGCCCCTGTAGCCCACATCTTGGCCGATGTTGGGCCAATGTTGGCCTTGTTGGCCCCAGTAGCCCACATCTTGGCCGATGTTGGGCCTATGTTGGCCGACATCTTGGCCGATGTTGGCCCGATCTTGGCCCATGTTGGCCCTATCTTGGCAATATGTTGGCCCATGCAACCCACATCTTGGCCGATGTTGGCCTTATGTTGGCGCAGGTTTGCCCCTGTTTTGGCCTTATGTTGACCCATCTAGCCCACATCTTGGCCGATGTTGGCCCTATGTTGGCGACAATGCCGTCAAGATGTCAAATTTTCCGTTCCGGACCCCCTCCTAACACCCGAAACCATGAAAAACCCAGCGTTTTTTAACGTCGCCAAGGGAAATTGGAGTATGAAGTTGGAATTACGGGAGGGTCAGATTAGGAAGTGAAATCTATGGGACTAGTCCCTAAGGAAGACACTTGAAAATGGGGCAAGAGGCTTATTAAATCCGGGTCCGGCGAAAGGCCACGAAACCTCTGTAAAACGATGTTTTTTTTGAACCACGCGCAGAATCCATGTAATTACTCACCCGCGGGGGAACGATAAACGTGGGGCAGAATCGACCGGAGGTAAGTACGAGGTGGTCGGCGGCAGGGGCGGCCAGCGTATATAACCTTCGGTTACCACCGAAGGCCTCCGGCGAGGACACGGGCGCGGGGCCAGCGCCCGGATTTATGAGGCTTACGCCTGACAGCCGGGCGCCGGCAAAAGCAGACCCGTCAGGCCGAGCCGGGTTTGAATTCGACCCCGGCGGCTGACATCTTGGGCGAGGTTGCGCCTACCTCGGCCTAGGTTGGCGCCATCTTGGTGGCGTTACCAAGTTGTAGTTGTTGTTGTTGTTGTTGTTGTTGTGGTTGTGGTTGTGGTTGTGGTTGTGGTTGTGGTT